CAATCCCATCCTATAGCTGTATATTCCCAGAATAGTCTGTAATTTGTCCTACAATCCCATCCTATAGCTGTATATTCCCAGAATAGTCTGTGATCTGTCCTACAATCCCATCCTATAGCTGTATATTCCCAGAATAGTCTGTGATCTGTCCTACAATCCCATCCTATAGCTGTATATTCCCAGAATAGTCTGTGATCTGTCCTACAATCCCATCCTATAGCTGTATATTCCCAGAATAGTCTGTGATCTGTCCTACAATCCCATCCTATAGCTGTATATTCCCAGAATAGTCTGTGATCTGTCCTACAATCCCATCCTATAGCTGTATATTCCCAGAATAGTCTGTGATCTGTCCTACAATCCCATCCTATAGCTGTATATTCCCAGAATAGTCTGTGATCTGTCCTACAATCCCATCCTATAGCTGTATATTCCCAGAATTGTCTGTGATCTGTCCTACAATCCCATCCTATGGCTGTATATTCCCAGAATAGTCTGTGATCTGTCCTACAATCCCATCCTATAGCTGTATATTCCCAGAATAGTCTGTGATCTGTCCTACAATCCCATCCTATAGCTCTATCCCAGAATAGTCTGTGATCTGTCCTACAATCCCATCCTATAGCTGTATATTCCCAGAATAATCTGTGATCTGTCCTACAATCCCATCCTATAGCTGTATATTCCCAGAATAGTCTGTAATCTGTCCTACAATCCCATCCTATAGCTGTATATTCCCAGAATAGTCTGTGATCTGTCCTACAATCCCATCCTATAGCTGTATATTCCCAGAATAGTCTGTGATCTGTCCTACAATCCCATCCTATAGCTGTATATTCCCAGAATAGTCTGTGATCTGTCCTACAATCCCATCCTATAGCTGTATATTCCCAGAATAATCTGTGATCTGTCCTACAATCCCATCCTATAGCTGTATATTCCCAGAATAGTCTGTGATCTGTCCTACAATCCCATCCTATAGCTGTATATTCCCAGAATAGTCTGTAATCTGTCCTACAATCCCATCCTATAGCTGTATATTCCCAGAATAGTCTGTGATCTGTCCTACAATCCCATCCTATAGCTGTATATTCCCAGAATAGTCTGTGATCTGTCCTACAATCCCATCCTATAGCTGTATATTCCCAGAATAGTCTGTGATCTGTCCTACAATTCCATCCTATAGCTGTATATTCCCAGAATAATCTGTAATCTGTCCTACAATCCCATCCTATAGCTGTATATTCCCAGAATAGTCTGTGATCTGTCCTACAATCCCATCCTATAGCTGTATATTCCCAGAATAGTCTGTGATCTGTCCACCAATTTTACACTATTTCATTCCAGTATTCCCATCATAGTAATTAGACCTCCATTTGCACCCTTCAGCTGCTACATTTTGTTGGAACTTTTGATGTTTAGGGTATGTGATTGTAACATATTCCTTTCCTGCAGGCACACTTCTAAAACATCGTTGTACTTCTGAAAATTTAAAGCCACATTTCAACAGCCACATCAACCATCCAACAGAGATGTGACCCAAGATCAAGGCATCAGGAGAGTCGCTGCTCCGACTGAAGGGCTTTTGTCCAGGCATCCTGATGACAAGTGCACGATTGGTTCCCCGTGTAGCATACTGCACATTTTATTGGGTCTGCTCAATCATGTCCTGGGTGACGCTTGAACAAGAGTGTGTGTGTGTGTGTGTGTGTGTGTGTGCGTGCATGCATGTGACCCCTTGGTTGCTGGCCACCCTTCAATTTACTCTTCGATTTCAGAGAGGCTTGAGACACTGTGATCCGCTTGAGGTTCTTCTAAAAGGGGAGAATATGTTAATATGTGACAGTACGTAGGAGACTGTCCGAATAACGTTTCTCTCAATACAGAACTCCATGTGTGCTTCATCACACGATGCATTCAGACTTGTTTCTTGTACCTGCTCAAGTCATTTAACATTCAACCAGTGGGTTTGTTCTCTGGGGACAGAAACTGCAAATTGTACTTTACAATATCTGAAATTGTTTATTTTTCCCAATTCAAATGTTACTTAAAGTTCCCATTGAATTCAGCCTGGCTAGCACTGAACCCCTGAATAGTTACCACGAGGAAATCAAAAACTGAATCTTAACACAGTCACTAACCCCACAGACCATAAACATGGCAAATCTGTGGAATGTTAGAGGGTATTTGTACTGTAGGGTGGATGCCCCTACTCTTTCCTCGCCCCTGGTGAAGTTAGGTGGCAGCTAAAAGATACATATTTAGCCCATAAACACTCAGTGGAATTTAGTCCTGGTCTCCTAAGGGCACGATGGTCCCCAAGCACTCTACTTATAACTCCATGAGTCTCACCCACTATAGGACTAGGGACGACCGTTACCATGGTGCTCGGTATATGAACGCTCCATAAATGACCTAAATGATCTGTATGTACGTGAGGATGAGAGCAGTGTTTTGGAGGATGGAGCACAGAAGATGGGAGACAACAGAAGAAGGTTATCAGGGATGAGTGGTAAGCGGATAGGCTGCTGTTTAGCAGGTTATGCTGAGAGTGACTCCATGTGCTTTTGTTATACACAGCATCTCACTCATCTCCAGTTGTTATGGTAGGGCTTACACATCTCTGTCTACGGGATGGCTCACTTATCACTGTCTGTGGAAGGACTCGATTATCTCTGTCTATGGGAGGGCTCACTTATCTCTGTCTACGTGAGGGCATAATTGTCTCCAGTTATCTATGGGGGGCTTGATTATCTCCAGTTATCTATGAGAGGGCTCACTTATCTCTGGTTGTCTACCCAGGGACTGGCTTATCACTACAGTAGGGCTCACATACTGTTAGTTATGGGGCTCACTTATCTCTACCCTGGGGCACGCTCACTTCTTGTTATTTACCCAAAGCTCACTCATCTCTAGTTATCTACCCAAGGGCTCTTGCTATTTAGCTAGGGCTATCTAGTTATCTATATGAGAGCTCATTCACCTCTTGTTGTTTGCATGGAGCTTGTGCATCTGTAGTTATCTCCCTAGGTGCTCACTTGTCTCTGATAACCTACCGTGGTGCTTTCTCACCTCCTATTTACTTGGGGCTCATTCATCTGTAGCTTTCTACCCAGGTGTTCACTTATCTTACAGGTATCCTACCTGGGACATGCTTACCTCTTGTTATCTACTATGGGCTTGCATGTCACTTTTAAAGGACCACTATAGTGCCCTGAGGGTGCCCCACCCTCAGGGTCCCACTCCCGTGGCGCTGAGGGGGAGGAAGGGGTTAAACTTACCTCTTTCATCTGCGCCGGGCAGGGAGCTCCTCTTCGGGTGAATGCGCATGCGCGGCAGGAGCTGCGTGCGCATTCAGCCAGTCTCATAGGAAAGAACTTACAATGTTTTCCTATGGACGCTGGCGTCTTCTCACTGTGATTTTCACAGTGAGAAGCACGCAAGCGCCTCTAGCGGCTGTCAACCTACCCGAAGTGTTCCTCAATCTATACTCAGAAGGTTTGTTTGTCTCTAGTTATTTACAAGTGAAGACTGTCTCACTATGAATGGAAAAAAATAAAAAATAAATCACTAAATATAAAACCCTTTTATAACTTACTCTACCTACTAATTAACTAGTAAGCATAGTTTGGCGTTCCCAGCTACATGATCTGTCTGCGGGTAATTATCCTGAAATCATAACAGATTAAAGCAAGCCCTCACTGCATGACTAGGGTCCAGACCTTAAGGAGTTTTAAATCGTCTTTTTGTCATTGGCCACAACTCAATAATTCTAGAATTAGGTGAATACCTTAAATCAGTCAGTAGGAACATTTTGCAGTGCTGTATTCATGATTTTTTACATATATGTTAACATGGTGTTAATAATACCATTAGCCTGGGCACCCTATAGTATTCTGGGAATACATGTTTCCTTGCTTGACTTCCTGGGTCCATCACATGTTCTAAAACTTATTACAGAGATATGGAGTAAGAAACAGCGAATGCAATGCCAGTTCTATCATTAAATAAGCTTATAATGGGCTGCACAGTACTGAACATATTAATGGTTTATAAGCCTCCGCTTAATAATATGTTTGTTAAGGTGGCTGGACCACTTCAATGAACAGCTACCAATGGTCTCTGTTTTGTGGACGGTACATGTAAGGCAATCCACCAAGACTGTTTTGGCAGCTAATGTTTCCATGTATATCAGAATGGGATAAGCTATATGTGAAGCCCATGTGTAAGAAAGAATGGGGCGTGCTATATCACTAGCCCATGTGTAATACAGAATATCCCGTGTGTAAGCAGCATAGGACTTGCCATATCACTATCCCATGTGTAATACAGAATGGGGCGTGCTATATCACTAGCCCATGTGTAATACAGAATATCCTGTGTATAATACAGAATATCCCGTGTGTAAGCAGCATAGGACTTGCTATATCACTATCCCATGTGTAATACAGAATGGGGCGTGCTATATCACTAGCCAAAGTGTAATCCAGAATATCCTTTGTGTAATCCAGAACAAGGCGTGCTATATTATTAGCCCATGTGTAATACAGAATATCCTGTGTGTAATACAGAATATCCCGTGTGTAAGCAGCATAGGACTTGCCATATCACTATCCCATGTGTAATACAGAATGGGGCGTGCTATATCACTAGCCAAAGTGTAATACAGAATATCCTTTGTGTAATCCAGAACAAGGCGTGCTATATTATTAGCCCATGTGTAATACAGAATATCCTGTGTGTAATACAGAACGGGGCGTGCTATATCATTAGCACATGTGTAATACAGAATATCCTGTGTGTAATACAGAACGTGACGTGCTATATAATTAGCCCATGTGTATTACAGAATATCCTGTGTGTAATACAGAATGGGGCGTGCTGTATCACTAGCCAAAGTGTAATACAGAATATCCTTTGTGTAATCCCGAACAAGGCGTGCTATATTATTAGCCCATGTGTAATACAGAATATCCTGTGTGTAATACAGAACGGGGCGTGCTATATCATTAGCCCATGTGTATTACAGAATATCCTGTGTGTAATACAGAACGGGGCGTGCTATATCACTAGCCCATGTGTAATACAGAATATCCTGTGTGTAATACAGAACGTGGCGTGCTATATAATTAGCCCATGTGTATTACAGAATATCCTGTGTGTAATACAGAATATCCCATGTGTAACACAGAATATCCTGTGTGTAATACAGAATGGGGCGTGCTATATCATTGGCCCATGTGTAATACAGAATATCCTGTGTGTAATACAGAACGTGGCGTGCTATATCATTAGCCCATGTGTATTACAGAATATCCTGTGAGTAATACAGAATATCCCATGTGTAATACAGAATGGGGCGTGCTATATCACTAGCCTATGTGTAATACAGAATATCCTGTATGTAATACAGAATGGGGCGTGCTATATCATTAGCCCAAGTGTAATACAGAATGGGGTGTGCTCAGTGGCGGAACTACCGCGGTTGGAGCTGCGACCAGGCCCATCACTCCTGGAGTGTCTGTGTGTATGTCTGTCTGTGTCTGTATGTATATGTATGTATGTCTCTGTGTGTGTTTGTATGTGTGTGTGTGCGCACCTATATGTGTGTGTCTGCATGTGTATCTGTTTGTATGAGAGGGGGACAGTAGACGTATGGGATAGGGTGGCGGAGGAGTAGACATACGGGGGGGTCAGGGCAGTTTTCGCACCGGTGCCCTGTGGTTTCTAGTTACACCACTGGGCCTGCTATATCATTAGCCCATGTGTAATACAGAACTGGGCTTGCTATAGCATTAGGCCATGTGTAATACAGAACTGGGCGTGCTATATCATTAGCCCATGTGTAATACAGAACTGGGCGTGCTATATCATTAGCCCATATGTAATATAGAACTGGGCGTGCTATATCATTAGCCCATGTGTAATACAGAACTGGGCGTGCTATATCATTAGCCCATATGTAATATAGAACTGGGCGTGCTATATCATTAGCCCATGTGTAATACAGAACTGGGCTTGCTATATCATTAGCCCATGTGTAATACAGAACTGGGCGTGCTATATCATTAGCCCATGTGTAATGCAGAACTGGGCGTGCTATATCATTAGGCCATGTGTAATACAGAACTGGGCTTGCTATATCATTAGCCCATGTGTAATACAGAACTGGGCTTGCTATATCATTAGCCCATGTGTAATACAGAACTGGGCTTGCTATATCATTAGCCCATGTGTAATACAGAATATCCCGTGTGTAATACAGAACTGGGCTTGCTATATCATTAGCCCATGTGTAATACAGAATATCCTGTGTGTAATACAGAATGGGGCGTGCTGTATCACAAGCCTTAATGTCTCGATCCCTTTCATTGTGACAAATAAAAACAAATAATTTTGCTCCTATGAGGTTGCAGATGAATGTTGCTATATATACATTTTTATAATTTAAATTCTGGATTTGGTGTCAAAGGCTCGGAAATGTATTACACCTTTAATAGGTGTAGATCTCCAGATTGGAAAAGACTGCAAGTCCCGTTGTCAGGGCTGGCTAATGATGATGGGAGTTTTTCCACCAACAGCTGGGTTTCCTGTTGGCCTCCCGTGTCTGTGGTACTGGGTATTATTATGTTAATAATATTTGGAAGGTATACAAGGTGAGTGTCATGTCATACATGTTATGAATACCCTGCATATGTGGGAAACTGTAAACTTGAAGTCATGTCATCTGCCAAATATTTAATAAATGATTATCACAGTAACAGCCTGGCTGCTCTCTCTTCAATGTAAATATTACGCAGTGTTTAGAAGGTCCTAGGGTCTGTGAACGCTCGCCTCCAGGATGATGAATTGTTTGGGAAAGGATGTCGCTAGCACAAAAGGAAAAACCATGTACCAGGAGAAAGATGAACTGCATGTGTCATCATGCCAAACACCATTTTGGGTGATCGGTATCTGTTGGCAAAGCAGACCAAGTATTGTGCTAGGTGTGTGTTGGTAGTACCATGTGAACATCGTATGATAAGAGTGAGACCAAAAAGGGTATCTTTAACCAAGTAAAAAAAAAACTATTGTTGTACTGCCGCATAAATTATATTGTTCCTCCTGCTGCATAAACGCTATCGCTGTGCTGCCACATAAATGGAATCGCCCTACTGACGCATACATTCTATTGCCCTACTGCCGCATAAATGGTATCGCTGTGCTGCCGCATAAATGCTATCGCCCTCCTGCCGCATAAATGGTAGCTCTGTGCTGCCGCATACATGGTAGCTCTGTGCTGCCGCATAGATGGTATCACTGTGCTGCCGCATAAATGGTATCGCCCCCCTGACGCATAAATGGTATCGCTTTGCTGCTGCATAAATGGTATCGCTCTCCTGACACATAAATGGTATTTCCGTGCTGCCATATAAATGGTATCGCCCTCCTGCTGCATACATTCTATCACCCTCCTGCCACATAAATGGTATCGCTGTACTGCACATAAATGGTATCGCTGTGCTGTTGCATTAATGGTATCGCCCTCCTGCCACATAAATGGTATTGCCCTGCTGCCGCATAAATGGTATCGCCATACTGCCGCATAAATGGTATCGCCATGCTGCCGCATAAATAGTATCACCCTCCTGCCGCATAAATGGTATCGCTTTGCTGCTGCATAAATGGTATCACTCTCCTGACACATAAATGGTATCGCCCTCCTGCCGCATACATTCTATCACCCTCCTGCCACATAAATGGTATCACTGTACTGCGCATAAATGGTATCGCTTTGCTGTCCCATAAATGGTATCGCCCTCCTGCCACATAAATGGTATTTCCGTGCTGCCATATAAATGGTACCGCTTTTCTGCCGCATACATTCTATCACCCTCCTGCCACATAAATGGTATCGCTGTACTGCACATAAATGGTATCGCTGTGCTGTCGCATTAATGGTATCTCCCTCCTGCCACATAAATGGTATTGCCCTGCTGCCGCATAAATGGTATCGCCGTGCTGCCGCATAAATAGTATCACCCTCCTGCCGCATAAACGGTATCGCTTTGCTGCTGCATAAATGGTATCGCTCTCCTGACACATAAATGGTATTTCCGTGCTGCCATATAAATGGTACCGCTTTTCTGCTGCATAAATGGTATCACCCTCCTTGTACATAAATGGTATCGCCCTCCTGCCGCATACATTCTATCACCCTCCTGCCACATAAATGGTATCACTGTACTGCGCATAAATGGTATCGCTTTGCTGTCCCATAAATGGTATCGCTGTGCTGCTGCATAAATTGTATAGCCCGTTTGCCGCATAAATGATATCGCCCTCCTGCTTCTTAAATGGTATCGCTTTGCTGCCCCATAAATGGTATAGCTGTGCTGCCGCATAAATGGTATCGCCCTCTTGCCGTATAAATGGGATCGCTTTGCTGCCCCATAAATGGTATCGCCCTCCTGCTGCATAAATGGTATTGACTTCCTGCTAAATAAATGGTATCACCCTACTGCCGCATAAATGGTATCGCCGCGCTGCAGCATAAATCATATCACCCTCCTGCCGCATACATTCTTTCGCCCTCCTGCCGCATAAATGGCATCGCTGAGCTGCCGCATAAATTGTATCTCCCTCCTGCTGCATAAATGGTATCGCTGT